ACTAGTGTAGCTGTGTGTGAAACCTTCTGGGGAGCTATACTATCAGAACGCTTCCTGCATTTGGCAGCTACTAAACAAACTACGCTGCTTCGGTGTATATATTGAAGTCTTTATACGAATCTCAGCGGAGCGTTTCGCATGAAATTTCCACTGTGGCACTAGCTTCCCCTGTTGTTTCTGCAGAGGCGGCGTACAATCGAGAGGACAGAAATAGAGGAGCGCAAATTCACGCAAGGGTAGGAAAACAGTTTCCTGATGGTTGTTTTGTACGGGGCCGCGGTGTGGCGTTTTAGGCCACCTGCAGCACCAGCTTGGGGTAGATACACATGGAAATGAGTTCCTGTAGAAGGAGTTTGCATGCATAGGGTATGTAGACTTGTGATATTTTGCTGCTGTTTCCACACAGCTTGCATTCGAAAGCCAGGCGCTGCAGATCAGCAACGCACATGGTACCGCATATATCGCAGCAGTGAATTCTGTATGCATCACTTTGATCAAAGAGACGCTCTTTAAGCATTCGAGCCGCCCCATGAGATATCATGCAATCTCTTTCCATCTCCCCAAAACGCAATCCTCCTTCTCTGCTTTTACCCTCCATAGGCTGTCGCGTTAGAGCAGCAACAGGGCCCCTCGCTCTTGCATGTATTTTGTCGTCCACCATGTGTTTCAGGCGTTGGTAATATGTCGGGCCAATAAATATTAAAGAAGGCATATGAAGACCCGTGTGTCCGTGGTACAGGCGCTCGTTGCCGTGACGCTCGAAACCCANATTAAAGAAGGCATATGAAGACCCGTGTGTCCGTGGTACAGGCGCTCGTTGCCGTGACGCTCGAAACCCAGGCGATGCAGCTCTCCAGCTATCCACGAGACGGTGTACTGTTGAACGAAACACAAAAAAAAAAAAATGAAATCATAGCTAAACAAACTTTTTACTATAATATTAAACAATGAAATTATAGAGTTAAGTACGCGGTGTACTGCTAAATACCACAAAAAACAACAAACAACATGAAATGCTATTGCAGGTAGCTGCGTAATGTTAAGAAAACAAAAACAACAAATATTGAATAATAGCTCGAAACAGTGAACTAGTGAACGCAACAAAATACAAAAACAACAAAATACAAACAAAACATTTCAGTTAAAGAAACGGTGTACTCTTTAACACGAGAAAATACAAATAGAAAACGAAACAATAATTAAAGCGGCAATATACTGTTGAACACAACAAAACTCAAAAGGTGAATAAAGCGATAGTGAACTGCTGAACATATCATCATACAAGCAACACGCAACAACAGCCTCAGTGCCAACAGCTATATGAGGCATAAGAAACCACAAATTAATAAACTTCGCACTAGAAACCACAAATTAATAAACTTCGCGTGAATAAAGATTGCAGAGCGCGAGGCAGCATACAACACGAGACGAAGACGCTCCTTAATAAACGTTTCCTGCGTGTGGTGATGCAGTCATGCGTGTTTTGTTGTTTATTTATTTGTTGGTTTATCCGTCTATGCACTTGTTTGGTGAGCTGTTTATGTATTTGTCCGTTTGTGTGTTTATGTATTCGTTCGACTGTGTGCTTATTTCCTAATGCATCTGTTCAATAACTTCTTTATGCTTCTGTTCAATTGTTTGTGCATTTGTTCACAGCCTGTGTATGTAATTCTCTATCTGTTCGTTTGTTTTTTTATGGATTTGCTTAACAGCTTGTTTTGTTCTCATTGTTCTGCTGCCCGTGTTAATTCACGTCAACAATTCTCTTCAAGAAATCGTGCAACATATTGGAGTATTATATATATATATATATATATATATATATATATATATATATATATATATATATATATATATATAT